TGTTAGTTTTCTTCTGTTCCCCTTATAAAGTCTTCTTCCTTAATTTTTCCCTCCTTATTCTTCTAGAATCTCACTCATCACATCCTTCTATAGTTCAGTTTTCACCAATTTTTTTTCTTGATCAGACGGATTCCCTGAATGGCAGAGGTCTGATAAATTCTACCATCCTTCTACATCAAGAACCTTGAATGGCTCCCTATTGCCCTCAGGGAGAAATCTAGACATTTGCACTGGGCATTTAAATCCCCTAAGAATTGATACAATCTTTCCAATTAACTCTGCTAATAAACTGGTATTAAACCCCACAATCTTTCTCTCATCCCTACTTCTTATCTAAAATCTCACCCTTCAGCCCCATAATAGCTTGGCCTTGCCCAGTGTTCTCACTTCCATTGCTTTTAAGGCTAAGCCATTCCCTCTTCTGAGAAGACCCAATACACTGTTTCCCCCTCCCCACCTGCCTACAAAATTTGCCTGGAGGGTCCTGTCCTTTCTTCAAGGGCTAGACTGAATTCTAACAACTTTTGCAGAGAATCAGAACAACCCATTCCAAATTAATTTTCACCTTTCCCCAATACTTCTTATAGTGAATGTCCTAACATGTTGTGGTCTCTTTCACGGAGTTTTTGTGACTCTTTCTGTCCACTAGCTATAGTATGGGCTTATCAGAAGTGTCTATGTCACTTGGGTCTTTGGATCTTCTGTGGCACAGACAGCCTAGCAGGTGCCATATGTCAGTTACTGCAGAGGCTTTCTGATGCTTCAAACTCATAGCACACAGTGACACTAGGCTCAGAGAGAGGCTCGGTGAACTACCTGAGGCACCAGCAGTAAGACAGCTTATGTTTCAGTAAGTGGTACCTCTCAACAACCAGGCTATGCTGCTTTCCCACAAGGGGCCATAAGACATACTGAATGTTTTTGTAACCCTTTGGACACCAGGCTAAAGGTGCACTTAAACATTTCCTCATTACCTGGGAGATTTCTAAAGGATTTGACATCTGATTTTGTCTCTGAAGAGTCAACAGGAATTTGACAAACAAAAAAGAGGCAAGAGTATTCCAGTAAGAGATGTAGCTAAGTCCTCTCAGAGTGAACAAGCTGAGAAGATGAGTGCTGTATGCTGATTCACTTCCCTAGTCAGACTAAGCAATGGAGGAAGGAAATGTGCTGTTCTTGCTCAGAGCTGCCCATGTTAGAGTATAACTCAGAGCAAATGTTGAATAAGTAATTTTGTTGGGATTAATCTACTCAAGAAATACTACCTGAGCATTGTTTGTGTCCATGTAATTTTGAACTCAGTCTCAGCCTTGAATGCTGAGCACTTTGATTTGAAAAGCACAAACCAAAATTTTAGACCCTGAAAGTAAAACCTCGAGTGCCTAGAAAGTTTCACTGACCAACCCAGTTTCACTGACTGGTTGAGTACAAAAAAAAATCCAACAGGACAATCCATGACAACTCAAGTAAGAAAAAAAAAAAAAAAAAAGCTAAAAATCTCTTTCAGTTCCAAGAAACTTAGTTATTTCCAGTAATAAGTTTCCTGCAAGGAAACTTAAGGGCTTCAATGATGTCAGTTTCATTTCCAGTCCAGAGCATTTACCTTCTCCTTCCTTAAAGAGAGAGTGAAGGCCCCTCTGGCCAGCAGCTGTGCCCATGGGCATGAGTCTGAAGGCAGGAAGAGTAAATGAGCTGTTTCTCATGTCATATTGGATTGTTTCAGATCTCCTCATTTTGTATTAGAATAAGTGATAAGCAAGTTGATGTCAGTGAGCATATTCAGATCACATTTGTCGAATCAGTGAGTCAGAAAATGGCTCAAAGCAGAGCTGGCGAGCGGGAGGGAGTTAAGCATGATGAAGTAGAGAATGAGTTCAATTCAGGCCAGGAGAATGGGTTCCTTCTCTGCCAGCTATTAGCTGGGTGGCCCTGAGCAGTCACCTTTTTTCTCTGGGCCTCAGTTTCTCTTTCCAGTACACATGAACACCCCTCAAAGAAGGCATCATGGCATCAGGCAGAAGCAAGAGCAGTCCATTTGACTGTCAACATACCTGGAAGAAACTCGGCCCTACACTGCCTTTTCCTCCAACAAAGCCTCATCAACCTGGATGTCTAAGTGGCTTCAGCAATTGAGACTTTCAGAACTAAGATAGGCTTCTGAAGGGCTGGCACTTATCTCAGAGTGGGTGTCATGTGTTCTGGTCACAGTCAGGCCTAGAGTGGTTGGCCCTCCCCATGCCTCGGGCCAGGCCAATCAGTCCAAGTCCTCTGGTTTGAATCAGACTCTCCAGTTTTGGGAAGTCACATTCTAGTAAATAGACGAGGCACCAGGTCAGCAGGCTGGTGACTGTCCAGGAACCTCAGAATCAAACTAAAATTTTCTTCCTTCCTTCTTTCTTTCTTCCCTCCTTCACTTCCCTCTCTCCCTCACTTCCCTCTCTCCCTCACTTCCCTCTCTCCCTTGCTTCCCTCCCTCCCTCCCTCTCCTTCCTTTCTTCCTTCCATTCTTTCTTTCTTTCCTTCTTTCAGACAGGTTATCACTTTATAGATCAAGCTGATCTTGCACTCACAATCTTCCTGCCTCCACCTCTGGAGTGGAGGTGTGTATAGGTTTATGCCACCAAACCTGGCCAAATTAGGATATTTCTATCAGAATCTTGTGTTAGGTCAAGTTAGAAGGAACTATTTCATTCATATTTGTAAATGCTTTGGTTTATAGACCACCTTTTCATCCTCTGAGGGAGGTGTGGAACAGTGCTGGGTCACTCACTCCTAGGCACTGGGAGTGTATCATGGCCCTGCTCCTCATGAGCTCTGTATGTGGTCAGGGGGTGGGTGCTATGTAAATGTAACGGAGCTGTTCCATGTGCCACCTGACCCTTGCAGTGACCTCTGAGGCTGGTAGTGTAATCACCTTCACATTGCAGATGTAGAGTCTGAAGTTCAGACAAGTGCATCCCACACAGCACGCCCACACCCCTTTGCTCTACTCGTCCTTTTGGTCATTCTTCCTTCTCTCTCTACTACCTAAATGCCATCTGTCCCTTGAAGTCAAATGCTACCTCCTCAATGAATTCTACCTCCAAAGTGGAATTAACCTCAGCTTCCTCTAATTCTGTTTTTGTTGTTGTTGTTTGTTTTTTGGTGTCTTTATTAAACTGTGATGCTTACTTGGGTCACAGGAAGCAAGAAAAGGCCCAAGATAAAGATGTAACACACAGCAGAGTGAGATAAAGAACATAGAGAGAAGCCAGGTGCATTTCAAAGGGAAGGAAGCTTGCTCCCTGTTTCTTTTATTTCAAACTGTAATATGTCATGGTACCTTTGAAGGTCATCCCCACTTCTGGCTCTAATCAATGCTAACTCCACATATGCTGTCTGCCTTCTGACACTGAGCACCGGGGAAAGGAATCGTTTGCATGGATTCACCTCTGCATCACTCCCTAGCACATGGCTCCACCAAAGGTTGAGGGCCAAAGGTTGTAAAGTGCTCAAGAAATATGTATGACACTGAATTGAGAAGAGCTTGCTGTCTGGGGGTGATAGTGATGGATGACGTGGAGATGATGTAGATAACAAGGTTATTTGAATTGAAACCCAGCCGTCACGAAGGGTGATCTGCTCACCGTGTTTCACTATGACTGAGTGAACAACAAGAGATCCATGAATCAGACCCAGAAACATAGCCCACACATTGGCACACTGAAGAGAAACTGGGAAATGGAAAAAGCATATGAGTGGTGACCACCTCATCAACTTCGGCCTGATCTATAGATTAATGTAGCAGCAATGTAGACAAGCATTGTCTTCCCCTGAGATTGTTTTAAAATGTCACTAAAAATCACTGGAAAAAAAAAACTCTACTTATTACTCTTCTTTGAGGATAATGTAGAAAATATCCAAAAATTTTGAGTAAAAGAGAGAATCTTACTACGCAGAGTTGAGTTTTATCTAAGTTTCACTGTAGTTTCCTTGTTCTACCTTTCTGATTTTTATGTGACTGAGATTACACTGACTCTGTACATTGAATTTTTATTTACTTTTTGTATAAATAGCACATGCAAAGGTATAAAATTCAATATGTACATCAGGATAGGCAGTAAAAAGTCAGTCTCTCTCCCTCTCCCCAGCATTTTCCCAAGTCTTGAAAAAATTCTTCTGGAGGAGTCCTATATCCACCATTGTACTCTTTTGGAGAGAGTTAATAAATAGTCCTTAATCTTTCAAGGTTCGTGGGAATGAAAAATTGTCTAGAAGAAGGAAATCTGTCTCTAATGCAATATATTTGTGCTGATAAAAGATACAGTTACACTACCTCTCTGAAGTTTACATAATCAAAATTAAAATGTACCACTCTTTCTAAAGAATGTTCCCAACTGACAACAGTAGTTGGAAATACTCAACCAAGATACATTTCCTCCCCAGGCCTCCATCCTAAAGACTTCTCCAAGAGGCTCCCAGTATCTAACATTGGTTCAAAAGACTCCAAAACATAGAGATCAGAGTCTGCAGGTCTCTGGGTTGTAATCACTACAGACATTCACCACCAGTCTAGGCCCCTAAAAGGCAGGTTTCCTCTTCTCCCAAGATCAGACCTGGCAAGGACTTCCTTATCTTGTTCTGCACTAGGGTGCGTGGTAAGGGTGGGTGGGGGAATTCCAGTTCAAATGAGGCAATTTAGAGTAAGTCATTTCCATAAAGTCTTGCTCAAAATGGAATCAGTCTATACTTACCCCAACACCATCCTCTTCAAACATAGCTTCCCAACACACAAAAAGTAGGGGAGCAGAACCAGTACGTTTCTGGAGAGCTTGTGCTGTGTGCACTGCCCAAGGGATTAAATTGTCACAAATCTCCTGCCTGAGTATTCACCACCTACCACTTCATTGTGCATCTCTTCCTCTGCAGGCCGTTTCCAGAGTTTTTCAGGAATTGTTACTGTTTAGAAGTTTATTTGCCAGCGAAGTGAGTCTCCCCCTCTGCTCTCCCTCTCCTCACAGCACCCATCTGATAAAGTTACAGAAGGCAACTCAGATTCACAAGCCCCACCAGACCCCCACTGAATAACACATCGTCTGGCAACAGGAGGCGTTTGATTACATTTGGAAGGAATGCCTGCATCAACTCCAGTTGTCCCTGAATTGTAACTGATGGGCCTCACGTGTTGCAGCCAACAGTTTGCCTTCACCCACTCCCCTCTCTGCAATGAACCTTTCTCTGGGAAAACAAGAAACCTACGTGCCATCCTGAGTGACAGACGACAGGAGCTGTGATCCTGCAGCTCATCCCAGGCATGGTAAGAAAAAGCACATGCGGAGGGGTTTGCAACAGTAAGTCATGCTTTAAGCATGTCTGGAGAGAACCTCTGAGCCAAAAGACCACGTTCTGTAGCCTCCGTGTTCATTTGAGCTCATAGGCATCAGGCTGTTACATATTCTGTACAAGGCACCATGCTGCTCTCTCCTGTAGCAAACTTTTCTAACTCTCTTCCCCCATTCTGGCTTTTTTACTCAGTCATGTGTCTGGAGGTTATGTTTCCACTAAGATGCCCATGTCCTAACTCCAAGAACCTGTGAACATGTTATTTTACATGGCAAGGGATAACGAAAGTTGCATGTGGACTTAAACTTATTATATCTGATTTTAAATAGGGAAATCTGTGGTTTATTTGTGTGGCCTTAATGTAATTATAAAGATCCATAAATAGGGATGAGCAGAGTCAGAACTAGAGTGGTGGGATCTTGAGAGACTCTTCCTGCTATTGCTGGGTTTAAAGATGAATGAAGGAGTCGATGTGTGCAAGCAGCCTTTATTGTCCAGAAAAGACAAGAGAATGGATTCTCCCCTACAGCTTCCTGGATTTTAGCCTTATGAGACCCATTTTAGACTTCTGACATTCAGAACTGCAAGATGAGTCGTTACAGCAGCAACAGGAAACTAATACAATTACTGTGGATCTGCTAGGTGCCCAGCCTGATACCTGGCAATAAGGGGCATTCCCAAAACATGTGCTTTATATTCACTCTCGGGGTCCAGCTAGGTAAATGGAAGCCACTTGAAGTGTTTAAGCAGGGGATGTTGAATGCAGGTCATTGGCTACACAGGTAATGAAAAAGGTTGAGAAGCCAAGCCAGGCATTAATAAGAGCAAAGGTTGCTGCACTGATGCTCCTAGGCTAGGCAAGAGGGACAAAGAGAAGACATCATGTTATTAGAGTCCAGAAGCCTGGGTTACCTAGTGGAAGCCAGGGTTACCTAGTGGAAACCAGGGTTACCTAGTGGAAGCTGGACCATAGCGGGCCTTCTCAGCAGAAACTGGACCATGGAGAGGAGAGAGCCCATCTGGAGAAGTCTGTTGAGGCCGAAGAAAGAAGAATACATCCTGGTTTCTCCCTTCCTCTGTCCTCCCATGTCTTGCCAATGATTCCCATTGGCAGCCCAGCTGGAAGCCAGCTGATGTAGGATCCTGGATCAGTAGTGCCCAGAAGAGCTAGGGAAGAGCAGTTGATAGATTTGAAGATAAATATGTAGGCTCTTCTTTTCTGCATTGATCACCTTGAATCTTGAAACATTACTTACTGTTTAAAATCCAAATTCTTTACCACGGCTTCTAAAACTCTCCACAGTCTGGCCCTTCCCTAACTTCTTTGCCCTCTTCCTGTGTTCTCCCTCATTATAACACTCTTTGTTGGCCTTTGCTCTGTTTTCAACATGACTAAACATTCCCTTCTCAGGACCCAGCACCTGTTAGAACCAATTCTGAACTCCTTCTCCCTTGTTTCTGCCTTGTCTGATGATTCATCCTCATCTGGGTCTCACCTTGTCTGTTGTTTGGTCAAAAGACACCTTTTTTCCATCTAAAATAGGTGCTCCTCACTTTAGTCACCATGATTTCCATGTTTTACTTTCCTATTATGTGAGGTGACCTTGGTTATGTGTTTACTTGTTTAGCATAACCTTCCCTAGACTGTGTCTTGTTTCATGCTATACACATGAAACATCTAGCACTGGCTAGATGTTTACCCAAATCAGTTTCTTCCTGGAAACAAAGCAGGCCTCGTTTCAGATTCTTTTGTAGGTAGGTGTGATGGAGTTCTAGCTAATGGAACTCAAGTAGAAATACAAGATGCAGCTTCCAGGTCTAGCTGTGAGAACCTCCCATGCCCACTCCTGCAAGTTTTCCCCTCCTGCCAGATATTGACAAGGCCCTAGGGTATGGTAGAGGCATGAGATGAAAGAACTCTGGGCTCTTGAATGAATAAGTGCAGGAGAGTTGCCCCAGCAACCTACATATCCACCCAGGACTGTTATGTGAATAAGAAATGAGTTCTGCGTTGACTCATTATATTAGTCTGCCTAACTAAAACAACCCCAATGCCAAGAACAGTTCCTGGTCCATAACTGGCCCTCAATGGGTAGCGATTCAATGACTGAATTTTAGACACTCAATAATAAGGTGTTCAGTGATGGGATGGCTTTTCCCCACCTTCACTCCTGATCCACTAAACACCCCAAGGACAGAAGAATGGTATTAGTTGCTATACACTGGACACCTTCCACTGAACCTAACCCTCAGTAGTTGCTATGTGGAGTTTCTAGGCAGTGTGACAAAGCATGGTCTAAAAGCATTAGTCTCCGCTGTTCTCAACAAGGTGTTCTGAATTATAGCTACCAATGTTTGTGTGGCTTTTTAGAGTTTACAAAGGGCTCTTCACTTGATCCTTCTTTACAACACTCTGAAAGGTAATTATGCTTCCCATTTTACAGATGATAAATCTAAGCTCACAGGGGTTAAGTATCTTGCATAAGAGCTTAATTTTTTTAAGTGATAAAATTAGAATTAATTCCTTATTCAACGGTCCTTATTGAGTGCTTCCAGTGGACTTGCTCCCTTGTTAAAACTTATGCACCTTGTAAGAACTCAACTTGGAGAACCCAGGTTGTGCAGGAACTGGAATTATCTTCCAGAAGATCAGTGAGAGGGCCTGATAGCCACAGAGGACAGCGAGAATTGCCTGCCTGTGTTTGCAGCTAAGGTGTTTTAGTGGGGATGTTGTTGCTGCTGCTGCCTGACTTTGTGCATGTTTCTGGGTGGTCTGCTAGACTTGTCTGAAGTCAACAACATGGCAGTGAGCCCCTCCCCAGCTCTCCCACTTGCCCAGGCTAAAGCTCTGGTGTTCCCAGCCTGCCCTTTTCCATACATTCTTTCCTCCTTCTCGTGCCAAGATTTTTTCAGTCGACAATTTAGAGTGGGTTCCAGGCCATTTAGCTCAGTCAGAGATTCAGGTGAAAGTTTCCTCCCACTCACCCCAGGCCTCAGATAACCCATCAGGGTGTGATCAGCCAGCCCGTGTGAAGGAGGGGGAAGGAAGCTTGTGGAGACTTCCAGGCACAGGATTGGAGCAAAAGTTTCTGCAGCTGCCACATTTACCCAGAATAATCTGACTGGACAAAGTATGTCGGTGATAGGTTGGTCAGAAAACTTAGGACAAAAAGTCAAAGGGGTCAGAACTTGTCTAAACAGAGAGTGCAAAGGCCCCTGGAGGGTTGCTGGCAGGCTGGGTTATTTGTGAGGGCAAAGAAGGCAAGTGCTGGTGTCTGAAGGGGCCAAAGGATGAAGAGAAAGAGAGAGACAAGATGGGCCAGTCTGTGTAGGGGCTCGGCCTTCTCCACCCCACAGACTCTCCTCTCAGTGCCTGGCGGCCTTTTTCTGTAAATAAATCCTGGCTGCTCCTCCAGTGCAGGGTGTCCCACGAACTGGTGCATCTGAGGTGGGGTGAAAGACAAATATGCCTTTTCATAATAGCTTTACACCTGGAGCAGTGGAGGACCGGTTTATTACCTTGGTAAACAAAAGTGAGAATTCAAGCAAAGTACAAACTTTGCCCAAGGCACTTCTGACAGTGCACCTTGTGTTTGTGAAGTGAACTCTGTATACACATCATGTGAAGCAATGCCAGCCTGGGCCTTTTCTCTTCTTTTCTTTTTTCTTCGTTTGCCTGATTTCCAAGGTTTGAAATTGCACCGTTTAGTGCGAAAAAATATGCGAGCCAATTTATATTGTTTTTCCAAAGATAATGGGCTCCTCGCTGCTCTTGGTGACATTTAGGGTTTGTGAGCAGGAGACAGGGTAAACCAGTTTGGGGAACACAAAGAGAGCTGGGGTTTGTATTAAGTCTTACTTAAATCAAATATTTAAAAATGATAAATGTTTATTCAGTGCCTATTTTGTACGAAGCAAAACTTTCTTTTTTCCCATTTTTATTAGGATATCTTCATTGTGCAGGGGGGTTCACTGTTACAATTCCAAATAGCCTTACTTATATTGTACATTGGATAGATGGCCCCCACCCAAAACTTTCAAAAAGACATTATTTCATTTAGTCTTCACAGCCACGTGAGGCAGGGATTATTGATCAAAATGTTCATTGTATAGGTGAGGCCATGTTACTGAAGTGATCTAGGACCCAGTGGTCTAATTCCAAATTCAGGCTTGTCTCCACTGTCCTGTAACCTCTAGTTAGGGTCACAGGCTATGTGGTGTCCTGTCACTTTGCTTCTTTTTCCTGCAACTCTCCCTCCTCCCTGCCACACACACACTCATTTTCTTCATCCTTCTCTGCTGGTGCTTAAGGAAAACAATTGGTTTACCCCATTCTTTGGTGTGTTTCTGCCCAAATGATTTCCTTACTCTGTATAGCCCCCTGGTATCCATACCACCCTCTCACCAGCCAGCACCCATGCACTTCAGTGCAAAGGAGCCATTTCCCTTCAGAACACACACAAGCCTGAAACAAAAGCAATAATAGCCAAGCAGGAGCACATCTCAGGTTCAGTTGGCTCCATAAATGCCTCTGCACCCTCCCATCCCCAGCGTGAATACATCAGATAAGCTTTTGCAAAACCATCTCTGAACTTTGGGGATTCTTTTCCCCAAACAAGCCTTTGAGCCTGAAGAACTTTGCCCATCTCGGCGTGTTTGCTCCTCAAACGTTCAGCTGGGGCTTGCCCATTACCTGGCCCAGGCCAGTGAACTTTTAACTGTTTCAGCCACAGATTAATCCCCAAGCTTATAAAACAAGAGTAAACTCATTAGACTTATTTTTTTTTTTTTAAGAAATCTCAATGAATGTGTCAGCTTGTGCCTGTCTCCACAGATGAAGGATTCCTTGAGGGAACATATTAAATGGAAGCTGGATCAAGTGATGTCACAGAGGTATTGTCAACTCAGCACTTTCAGGGTACCAGAGCTATGGCTGTTTGTGCTTTGCAGGATTTCAAGAGGAAGTCCCATCACTCTCCTCCAATTCCCCTTCCTCCGTCATGCCCTACATTGGGGCATCTTTATGAGGACTGCCTTTGTCTTATTTATTGCAAGCTTTTAAAAAATTATTGGAACACAAATGCTTTCTTTGCAATGCAACAGATTTCAGTTGCAAATGGATTAAAACATGATACCTGTGCTAAAGTCCTTGAGGGAAAAGGACTAGGGATCTCTGTGCTGAGAGACAAAATTTGGTCAAGGACTCTTCTCTGAAAACCCTGGGGAGCCAATGGTGGGATGTTTGTCCTTAAATGATATGGAAAGAGCACCTAGCCCAACCCATTTCTCTTACCGAGAGGAAACTGATACTCAGAGGGAGCAAGCAAGGCCAAGGTTTACACAGCCAGCAGCAACAGCCTCTGCAACTCCATGGCCAGGGCTTATAACTCTATCAGACCTGGAGATAAAGACAAAAACTGGCCTTCTATCTTGGCATGGATCCACTTATCCTGGCTTTTCATCACTGCTTGTTAATAAATATCCATAGGTTGAGTCCACCGGAAGATGTTTATTCTGACAAAAACCAGAGATGAGAAACTTGGAATGCTCTAAACATTGCCTGGAAAACTTATTTGCGGTTAAGAGATCTTAGTGTATCTTTACTTGGTTATGGTTATAGACCAGATAAGCAAGGCTTAAAAACAAATTATTCCTTCCCTACTTCCAACTTCATTCTTGTTAGCACTCTAAATTTCCGTGCTGGTGACTCTGAGGTGCTATTGGTCCCTGACATTAAGAAATGCAGTTAGCCCAAACTGAGTTCCAAACCAAAGTAACTGAGAAAATGCTGGAGTATTTATTAGAGCAAAAAGGAAGCTTAGTAATGCTCTAGACCATATTCTTCACCTTAAAGATGAATATACTGGGGCTGAGAGAGGTTAATCCTGGGTTGCTCAGTACATTAATGGACTACAAACCACTGATTTCACCAACCATGTGGAAGGAAGTTCCTTCCATTTGACAATTATAACACATCTCAGGTAATTTTTATGAATAAGAAATGGATTGTGCCCATCTCCAGGGAGCTGAATGCTTATTGAAATCTGGGCTTAATTAATACATGGACATCTGCATGAGGCATGGATCATGAGGTATCCTCACCATTTTTTTGTGTGTGTGTGTGATACTCAGGCTTGAACTCAGGGTCTACACCGTGAGCCACTCCACTAGCCCTTTTTTGGGAAGGGTTTTTTCAAGATAGGGTCTCATAGAACTATTTGCCTGGGCTGGCTTTGAACTGCGATCCTCCTGATCTCTGCCTCCTGAGTAGCTAGGATTACAGATGTGAGCCAGGCTTCTCACCATCTTTTGTTTCATGAAATACCAGTACCCAGAAATCAAGGGAATTTTCCAAGATTACAGGATGAATCAGCAAAGGCTGTGAGTCAACACACTGTCATTGGCTGAGGAATCAGGACATACATACCAGTCCTTACACTATCTCTAATCATTTGGGAGATATTGGGCAAGCTACCTCCTCTCTAAGTCTCAGTTTCCCCACCCATGGAAGGGCCTTGCTTGATGACTTCTAAGAACAGTTCAGCTCTGATGGCCTCTGGGTCTAGAATAGAAGGCTTAGGGGTATTTCATGTCTAAAACATGATGCTTCAAAGTCAGAAATCAATTGCCACAAACACCTCCAGGAATTTCAAAACATGAAGGATAAATGAGTTCTGCCTCCAAAACATAAAGACACAATGTGTCCTTAGCAATTGATATTCAAAATAATAATGACAATAAATTTGATTTTATTTTTTCCATAATTTTTTTTAACCTCTTGGTTTCTGCAATCAATTGTGTGCTCACAAGGGCAAGCATTTAGCACAAGTAACTAATGTCAGGCAAATGGAAAACTCAGAAGTATGGTATCTTTATCATTTTTACTTTTGAGGAATAAGAAAAATAAATATTTATTGAATACTTGCCACACGCCATGCAGTTTATATATACTCTCTTACTTAAAATCTATAAACAATAATAATTTGCCTAGAACGTACAAAACCATTAAGTAGTAAAGTCTAAGTGAAATCAGCTTTCCTGATGTTAAAACTCACATTTCCTATAATTCTAAGTTAAATACATGGTGAAAGCCATATTTTTGGTTAGAAAAATTGCTTTTCCATATGAGAAATAAATTAAATATAATAACATTTTATTGAGTGTCACAAAGAACAACATGTTGGCTTTCTTGGGCTACAACAGCTGAACATCTATGAAAACAGGTCAAAGAATATCAGGAATTACTCTGACTTTCACTGATCATTTAGGAGGGAGAGAATACCTTATCTAGAATTATTTCCATCTATTTACTATGTTCATGGGATCAAAGACCAAGTGGTTGTGATTTTAGACCTGCATGTTACTTTGCATGTGCATAGGCTTTTATCTTGACCTGTTCCTAGTTATTCAATCCTGTACTTCTCCGAGGAATATAGGCCAATGTTAGAGCAGACTTGAAAAACTGGCCTCTGATTCAGTGTCCTTTGAGGGGAAGTTTCCTCAAAGTTGCTCATACACAAATCAACTTGGAACTAGATGCTATAAGTTCATTCAACCTCAGATGCTTTTGACACACTGCAAGGCCAGTGTTATGAAGATAAATGAGATCCTTGAACTGACCTTGACCACCTAACCAAACCTAGACCTAGAACTGAGGGAAAAACATGAGAGGCTCCATTGTCCTGTACCTGCTTCCAGGATCTGGGGGTGGCAGAAAGTACTGCCTTTTCTGTTTGGACTTTCACCAGAATGGATGTTACTGGGCCCATTTTATCATCAAAAACTTGTCAGAAAACCAGAGAATAGCAAAGTTTAAAATGACTGAAGATTTAGCTACCATTTCATTTGATTTTCCCCTTTTAAGAATGAGTTTATGAGATTTGGAGAGTAGAAGGTTGTCTGAGGTTACCAACAGAGCATGGGACAAGACTAGGACTAACATCCTTCTCCTGCCTCTGGACTCAGTGCTTCTTTACTGCTATTATCTCATTGTCATGGTAATAGAAAAGACATTTGTCTAGAAGGAAAGGAGGTTGGTCTTTGTTTAATGAAAAAGAATGACCCAATGGATAGAAGATCTGTACTTCCTCACACTACAGAGACTCATGGTTATGTTGCCCTGAATCTGTGGCTCAGAAACAAAACACCAGACCTTTCCATGAGTGCACATTACCTTCCCTGGATCTGGAATAGCCTCCTATGTCTCCTCATTGCTCCTTTAGACCCAACTCCATCACTTCCTCTGTGGAGGCATGGTGGGTTTATACTGAGTCAACATGGGTAAGCTAGACCTATGATTCCCAGATTCTCCCTTCCCTGCATTGTTCCATAATAGCATTGACCAAAAGGGATGTTTTATATAACTGGAATACAAAATGAAACTACCGTGTTTTAATTCTAGAAGGCTGGGGTGAGTCACCATATGTTGTGGTATCTTGCACATGTTGTCTCTTGTCTGCCAGGTCACCTGATTTGGGTGAAGCAGCAACTGAGACCTCAGTTTCTCCAGTCCCCAACAACTCAACTCTTGCAGCAACTCTGAATCTTACCAGCATGGATAGCTCCCACAGGTCACCAACATCACTGCTGCAGCATTGAGAAACAGAAATAGGCTCCAGTGTGACCTTGCAGGTCCATTCTTGCTTTTTTGCTTTCTCCCACCCCTCTCCCCATTTCCCTTTACCAAACTACCTGCTCCTCTGACCTCCAAGTCAATATCAAGCCCAGAAGCAACAGTCTCACGTAATTAGTCAGTACCTACTGTTGTGTGTATTATGCCCTGATAATAAATCTAGAGTACATGTAGTGTTTCTACTCCTTGATTGAATCCTAACTGTCCAAGTTTCTGTGATCCTCAGAATGAATCTGTTCTCTGCCACATACCTCTACTGCAACATGTAAAATACCATGCTGTCCTCCATGATTGACAGTCTCTCTCCCACTGGAGAGGTCATTGACTGGCAATGCATCGTGTGCTTACTTTGTGCCCAACACTGTTACGAGCAGTTTTTAGTCTGTCCAATAATGCAATAAGGCAGCAATGTTGCCATTATTTTCATTTTATCTGAAGGCATCTGAGGATTAGGCAAGTTAAATGATTTGCCCATGCTTCACAACTAGGAAAGGAGACCCACATTCAGAACCAGGCATCCTGTCCCAGAACCAGCAGTTCTTCCCCTCTCTAGAGTTGCCATTCAGAAGAAACCTCTTCCAGGAATGAATGAGTGGTCAATGACTTAACTTGAGGAGAGAGATGTCTTTTCTAGGAAAATGAGGAAGGCTGATGAGAAGAGAAGCTTAGGACACGAGGATCCTACTGTACCCTATGCTTTCAACAAGTGCTATTCTTTCAGATAAGAAGTTAGCATTGTAAATGATGCATCACCAAGATCTTGTTAGCGAGCAAGAGCCTAGCAAATATGCATCACCTGAAAGCCCTCAGCGTGCTCTCCAGGAGCAGTAAATACCAACAATGCAGCACAGCTCTGACAAGCCTGCTTTTCTTCCCAGCCCAGGTAGATGCCTCACCCGGGTGGAACCCCATTCTGGGGTCTCCCTGTGTGGAGGGCTGAGTCTGAGCCTAGCTGGAAGCCTTGTGGGAATGCAGGTGCAGGCATGCAATTAGTGTTTAACAGTTAAGGTGTGGTGTGTTGTGTGTATGTGTGTGTGTGTGTGTGTTGTGTGGTGACTTTTTGAGACAGAGACTCCCATGTAGCCCATGCTCTTGAACTAATGATCCTTCCTGCCTCCACCTCCTAAGTGTTA